GTAAAGAATACAGTTGAAGACAGATGTTATAGCAACAAACTATTAGATTCTACTGCAAGTAATCTAGAAAAGCCATGACAAAACAGTAGCCTTGTGGAAAGACAAGAGGGAAGATTTGAGAGCAATTAAGGAACTAGAACCTTACTGTACTTGGAAGATGGATGCTAAAACTAGTGGAAGAAAAGAGAGGGATTGAGAATGAGACAGATATTTGACCTGAAAGTCTCGCTGAAACCATTTATTTATTGAGACAAGTTTTAGGTAAAAGAAGATAACATGTTTAGTTTGGAATAAGTTCCAATTTGGAGTAAGCTATAAATACCACTAGCTTTGTTAATAAACATTTGTATGCAAGGTTTAAGAGCTCCTTAAAAAAATCTCTTTAATATTTCAATGTTCGATTTTCAAATTTTTCCAGCTTAAGTGTCACCCCTTCCAATATGCCTCTGGCCTACCCAATAATGATGCATTGGACCAACCTCTTCACACACAAACCCTGATTTTGTCTTTTTACTAGAAAGGAAAATGCAGTTCACAAAAAGACTGCACTCAAAAGATCTCATCCTAGATTCCATTATAAATTCAAAGTATCAAAAATTCACAACTATTCATTAAATCTTTCTATTATAAGAAAAAACACTAAGCACTACATTAAAACACACACACACACATGCAATGAGCTAAAACATAATAAAGTTTAAAATAAGCTGTCTCTGTATGAAACAGGGTGCAGATGAAACAGGAGAGGAATAAACTCATTTCAAGTGATATTCTAGTAAATTCTTCAGTTGAATGGTAGTCCTCTGGATATTAATTTTGTTAATATGCTTTCTACCTTATGCAAATGTTACTTAAACTCTTTTGCATTTAGCGAAAGATTTTAAGTAACATTTGCATAAGGTAGAAAGTATAAATTATATAGGAAACATAAAATAAAAATATGTCCCTTTACCTACTTAGTAGATAAAAATACTCTAGGAAGGAATTATGTATTATCTACACTCTCTGTTGTTTGCATTTTGTTTCCTTCTTTAATGTGGCATACTTTAATTCTTAAAAAAAATTATAATAATTTAGAGTAATTGAGGAGTAAGAAAAAAGTGATTTATTAGTTCTCTATTTTCCAGAAATTATAAAGTTTGTTAGTGGGGGTTGTACCTAATTGTTTATAATTGTTCTTCACATCCATTTGACATACTTGAATGAAAAAAATGGTAAAAAAAATCCAATTATTACTAAACAGATTTTATATGAGTAATAGTTTGCTGTTAGCTACAATTAAAAAAAATCAGGAACTACTTCACATCAAAAAAGAAAAGGGCAGAAATCATGCCAGCATACTTAAAAAAATAAAAATTGTACTTTAAAAAATAAAAGTTCAATTTAAAATATTAGTTTACTCAAAATGCAAATATATTCAATATAAAAATTTATTTTTTATCCAATTAGTGAAAGAACACAGTAAAAATACTAAAAAATGAAGTAAATTGTTTTTACCTAGAAGCATTATAAATCAGAAGCAAATTCTGTCAAATGTTAGTCATTGAGAACATCAATCTGTACAATGACTCTGCTGTCAACTTCAGGTTTTGAGACTTAATCATTTCAGAAGCAAGAAAGTCATAAGTCATATTTTACCCAAGAGACACTTGGGTACACATATTCAAGCTGTTACCCTCATAAATTTCTTGACAGTTTGCCTGAAGGTCAATTGGCAATGAAATAATAAAAAATTTAATTTTTGAACAGATTATGTGAAGAAAGATTTAAAGAAATATTTAGTCATTTGGCTTTATATATAACTGGGGAATCTGCAATAGCTGCAAAACTAGTAAACACATAATAGTCCTGAAGTATACTTAATATGTAAGTGCATGATGTGGAAAGTGGAAGTGCTAAATAACATCAGAACATCTGACCCAGTTCATTTTTTTTTCTAAAAGTGTTCATTTAAATTATTTTATATAAAAAGAAGCATAGTTCATTAATGTGTAATCCCTACACAGATTTTATTACATCATGCATTGTATTTTTTCAGACTGTGGTAAAATTATGGTTGATAACAAAACAGGCCACAAATGCTTCCCCTCTCTATCTTCCTCTTTTAACATTTTCCTTTTACCTTTACTTTGAGGCTTAAACATGTGATCTGCTGTGTATGCCAGTCTGCCCTGGCTGCCGTAACAAAATACAGTGGTGGCTTCAACAATGGAAATTTGTTTTATCACACTTCCGGAGGCTGCAAGTCTGATATCTGAGTGCCACATGGTCAGGTGAGGTTGAGGGCTCTTTTGCTGTGTGCTCACTTAGCCTTCCTCTGTCCAAGAAGACAGTGGGAGAGATCAAGTTCTCTGTTGCCTCATAAGGACACTGATTTCATCAGAACAAGATGCTACCATCACAACTTAATTACTTCCCAAAGGCACCATCTCCAAATTCAATCACACTGGGTATTCTGGGGGTATACAAAGACTCAGCCCGGAATACTATGACCAGTGAATAAGACAATAAGAAATATGAAAATATGAAATAAGTAGATATTTGAAACCATTTGTGCATTTGAGCCTGTCCTCTCTTGCTAGTTCTTAAGGATGTCTTGGGACCCTTGTCATCACCATGCTATGAAGAAACAAACTAGTCTGCTGAATAATGACTGGCATACAGCCTTGTTCCATCATTGCCCTCGTTGACCCAGACTTGCTTAGCTGTGGGTAAGATGATCTGAGAGATGAGGATCAGACCTACCACTTTATGAGACAACTGTAACTGAGTCTTAGCATTTTAGAAGTCCTAAACCCTCTAGCATGTTTGAATCTGATCTATCTTCTGTCCCATTGTATCCATTGTGATCTGGGATACCAGAATATCACATGAGTAACAGCATTCCCAAATGTACTCCTATCTCTGTAGCATGACTTCTATCTTGACTGTTGGTTTTCACTCCAGTTCCCAAAGGACGGAAATTGTGGCCTAAATTTTAGCCCTTTTTATTGGAACATAGATCTCCTGCCTTATTTCTGCCAAGCTGCTCCTCTTTTCTGCACCTTCTTCCCAGCACCTCTTACTTTAGAGAGCTGATAAGACTGTAGAGAATTTTGACTTAACGTAAACAGGCCTGCTATCTATACATATAACATTGGTGGGCTGACAAAAAAATATCAGCACAGTTCAGATTTCCTCTGCTTTCCCCACCTGACTGGCCCTTTCAAATATCAGCACTAGTTCATGTGTAATCTAAGCTCTTTGGACCCAGTGATATGGATTACCCGTCACCTTAAACAGTTCTATCAACAAAGTTTTGCGAGAAGAAGAAAGCCTCTTTCTATCATTTAATTCACAAATATTTATCAAACGACTCCTATGTGGCAGAAGTCCAGTGTGCTAGCACTACGGGTATAAAGAGGAAACAAGATATAGTCTATGCCTTCATGGAGTATATAATCTTTTTAGAGATAATAACAAGGAAAAAAGAATATAACACTCTATGGCAGCTTTTCAGCTAGAATTATCTGAATCCCTAAAAATGGAAAATTGTTTTAGTGGCTATTTTCTTAGTTCTTCTAATATTACATAAATATTATGCAACATAATGCAAAAGAGAAAAGTTAACACATAAAATGGATAAATCAGGTGTAAGGCTTAGGTCATTAGGGAATAATTTTCTCATCAAAATCTAGTTGGGAAAAACTGCTCTAAAGTAATAACTATTGTATAAGGCAGCATAACTAAACCAGACTGAGATCATAAAAATATTTTGGTTACTTGAGCCTTGAATGATGAGCATGATTTCATCAAGTGACAAGCAAAGAGTAAAAAAATCCAAAAGAATATTTGCAAAAATTCTTCTCAAGAGAGATGAGGATATCCTTGGAGAACTAACAGATAAATAAATGCCCTCTTCCAGTTAGATAACCAATGATGTTCCAACAAGTAGCACAGCAAAGATCAATAGAGACTTAAGACATTTGAAGAACTGATACACAGAATTAAACATGCAGTGTCATCTTTATAAACCTGCTTCAATATTAAGTTCAGTGTTATGGGTAAGAAATGAATATTGCAATATTTTATTCATCTTTGTTAATGTCCTTTGGGTTATATGAGACAGTTTTTCACTCCTTCTATGATGTTAGGCTGCACAAAAGAGAAGAAAGTGTACTAATTAAATGCTCAGGTAAATATTTTATTGCTAACAAAAATTACTAGAGATTACTTGTGGACAAAAAAACCCCAGAAAAACAAAAAAACATATTCTCTGACAACTTGTCTAAACTATAAGTAACACAGTGTCCTACCTTACTGAGCTAGGGCTTAATTTTGTTCAACATCATGGGAGTCTCAATTTCAGCACTTATTCTTTGTTATGACATATTCTTACTAGTATATTTTAGAATCAACTTCAAGAAATAACTGAATCTATTTGCCAATTATTGTCAAAAACAACAGCTCAATATTTATTATGCCAAAACCAATTCATCAATTTCAGCAAATGTTCTTCTACACTCAGATATAAAATGATCAACGTTTTGTTCAAGAGGTTAGCTTCATTATACGTGGAAATATTATGTGGCAAAATCATTCTGACATGTTTAATATACTGCTCAAAATTATAAATTTCGTAAGAACCTTGTAAGTTATTTTATCATAGAAGTGATGGAAATGAGACTTTAGCCTACAAAATATCCTGAGTCAAAGTCAACTCTTTTATGCTTTAGAGTGGAGAATTCTATGGCTTTGTTAAAGCTCGGGTCAAATAGCTGACTAGATCCAAAACTGCATTTGAATTAAAGTCCTTGGACTACTATAAAGTACACTTACAGAACTATCTTGATAGAGAGATGGCACAGCCTTCCATCCAGGTACGAACACAAATAAGCTCTTTGATTATTATATAAGAATGTCATGTTTGCAACCCACACAATTAGAATTCAATGCATATCTAATTGCAATAGGCAATACAGAACTGCGATGCACTTTATATTTGATAATTTGCTATCCACCTTTAGTCCAAAGTCAGCCAAAGAATCAACATGTTGCTGTAAATTCACATGTGAATGTAACCTCTCTGCTGCAAGCACATGATGATAAAAAAATCTGAAAAGCAAAAAACAAATTAAATATCTAACCTAAATGGTGATCATAATAACAGTATCAACAAGAAGAAGCATCTCCATTGCCCAGAAACAGAGGGAAAACACAGCATGGTTTTCCAACACAACACTGGAAAACACAGCATTGAGCCTGCTGGAATGTGGGACTGGAAGTAGTCAATGAAGCAGAAGTTCATGCTCTGCGTGGTAGAGGGGGCTCTAAGTACTCCACACAAGATGGGAGATAAGAAAGTCTGTCTCCCTGATACAGGCCTGGTGCTGGTCCGGCCTGCTGTCCGTACCTTTAAACCTCCTGAATGGAGGAATACAAAAATAAAATCATTGCTCATCAACACCTGAGAATATGTGAAATTATGAACCTGTCAGCATGGCTTTGGTGTGTATCTAAATGAGAAGTAGTAATACTATCCCAAATGTTTTGGAATGAAATTACCTAAGTCCTATAATAAAAATCAATTTATTTTTACTATTTTTTTCCAACAAAGTACACACACACAGTTATAAAACACAATGATTCAGAATAGGAAAAATAGGTTACTTTTGGCATTATAATATGAAATACAAATAATTTAATGATTAAAGATTTAGTCTTATTTTCAGAATGTCAATGTTAAAAATTTTTTAAATTTTCCTTACTAGCCAAGACTTGGCACACTATATAATGTACCTTATTTTAAATAATTATGATTAATACATCTTTCAGCCAGTAGGATTAAGAACCACAATTGATAGTTTCATAAAAACATGTAAAAATTATCTTCCCATCTAATATAATACAGAATCTCTGCTTAGCATTAACTTGGAATACTTCAAAAACAAAATATTTTTTATTACATTAGCCAGCATATATAAAGTTTTTCACTGTTACTCCAATATACTTAGAGCATGAAATCACATGACACTAAAGGAAAAAAAAAAATCACCTCTATAATCTAAACTACAATGAACATGAATACGATTTGTATCATTTTTAAAGTTACCTGAATAGAGAGAGAACCCGCGTTTGACACTTTTCTCCTGGCTCAGGGCTAAGAACAGAGGCAACTGATCATTAACTTTTAGCCACAAGCAAACTTACACACATATCTCCAGAGACTCTGCTTTGCCCTTCCCTCTCTCTTCTCTCAAATAGGGGAAAGTTAGTTCTTTCTCTTTTTCAAGAACCTGCTTTGACATGCACAATTAGTTGATACTTTTCAAAGTCTAAAGTAAGCTTGTCTTAAATTATATCATAGGTCAAAGAAGGTGGCCAAGACTGGCAATGTGAACTGCTAAATTTAACCTTCTCATGTGTTATGTTGATGTAGCCACATTTTCAAGCACATTTTCCATCATGTGATTTAATATGCATAAAGCATATTGCAAAAATGCTGTACTATATAAATTAATAGTTGAGTGACTTTTCACTGAGTCTGAGACTAGGTAACTTTGTAAGTTACGAACAATAATAAAGAGGCCAGGGTCAAAGTGTTGAATCTCTTGTAGGCCAGCCAGTTTAATCTGTTTCCTGATCACACATAACACTCCCTACATGGTCAGCCATTCTGTAAATGCCTGTTCTCTGCCCCAAAGAGTCCCCAGCCCTGTGTGAGGGTGAATCTGGTGATAGATCATTAGTACCATCTTTGTGTTTGAAGAAATTACAATAACCTTTGGAAAAATGCAGTGCTGTAATTTATTAAATACTTTTCATATTCTAGGTAACCATTGTGCCAAATAATTTATACCTATTACCCTATTCTCTAAATGATACATGATAGACATTATGATAAATATTTTCCTATGGGGACACTGAAGCTCAGAGTTTTGATTACTTATTTCACATAGCTGTGAAATATTGGGTCCCGGATTCCGACTCTAGATTGTCCAGATTTGAGGCCTATGTTCCTCTCTATCAAACAGCATGCCAGACTCCCTCTATCAGTGGAAGAGAAATATCTGATTTCCTTTGTGAAAGATGCTATTATTTACATCTAAGCACTAAGCAGTTGCCACTTGTAAAATATGCTTCCCAAAGATTTGGGAAGGCTGCATTTCTAAATGTGTATAATTATTAAATAATAATAAACAGGTAATAACACAAATAACTTCTAGAAATTTTATCTAATTTATTTAACCAAATAAATTAAATGCTTTTACAAAATATGTGGTATGTTTCTATCATTTCTACTGAAAACTTAAGCTTAAAAACTAAAATGAAATAAAAGCATAAAGAAATTTTACCCTAGTACAAAATTAGACATAAACTGAGATTTTAACACAGTGAACAAATTGTACTATGAATTTCACAATTATATAATATATCTGACAATCAAAAGCAGTCTATATATTTACTGAGAAATCTTCAAATGCTTCTTTGTCCCAATGAAACAAGGTGCTTAGTGGCTAATGAGTGTTCAATACATTTATTTGGGGTAAAATTACTAAAATGTAATATAAGTGATTAACCAACGAATAACTTCATTTTGTACCCTGTACATATACCTCAAAGTAGTTTCTTTTTTAAAAAGGGTAAAAGAATAAAATTTCAATAATATTGTTTGCTTTATCAACTACTTTTTTATATTGATAATATGACAAGACTCAATTTTATGTACAGAAATTATCATCAACATTATTCAGTTAATATGTTATTTATTACATCAAGAATAATAATTTTAAAAGGCTCCCATATGTATAAGTTAACTGTTTTAGCTAGTATTATTACAAAATATTCTAAAGTTAAACAAGAAGAGAAATACAAAGACATACTTTTGATATGTAAACATTGTTATCAAGAAAATAGTTTGATAAGATCTATAAAGAACAAAATTGACAGGAGTTTGAAAAATGTATTTTGTACTTATTTTGTATTATTTTGCTTACTGTCGTTACAATATAAAATCCTCAAAAAATACTATCCACTGATAAAACCAGGGTCTGTTAAGTCTAGTGTGCATGTTCGAAAAGTTTAAAGAGTTCAAATTATAAATTACATATTTTCTTTCTAAATGTAGAATTCATCTTTCTTCACATAAGATATTTCTTCTATCATATTACTTTAACATGTTAAATAAACATTTTAAGCAAATATATCAAAAATTAAAATTCACCTAAAGCAGCAAATTATGGGTTGTTTGCTGGTGTAAAACAAATAGCAAATAGAATGAACTGAGTTTAATATTAACTTTAGTCACCTTTGTAATCACACTAACACCTTCAACAATTTGACTCACCTTTTTTTATAAGAATATAACTTAGAGTACAGAGAAATCACATTACTAAAGTTGGGCAACTAAATTCTGTGAGATGTAAGATAAACACAGACAGTGTGGTTTCTACATGCACCTTTGAGAAAAGAAAAGCCAAATGCAAAACAGACCTGTTCACCAGGAGCCCTGGGGAGAGAATGGCTGAAGGTGACTAACTTTTGCCAAGGTTATAAATTCTCAAAAGTAACTCCAAAAATAGGATCATGCGAGATTTTTTTTTAATTTCCGGTTTCCAAAATTCTTCAATAATATGAGGACAGGAGAGAAAGGAAATGCAGATAGTCTTAGGAGAAAACCTTGATAAATAGCCTGTGTGCCCTTGGAACAGGTTATTAATTCCATGTTTAAAACATGACAATAAGTTCTTGGCAATAGATTTATTTATAATATTATTCCCAAGTTTCACGAAGCATTTTACACATTTCCCTTGTGAGATTATGATGTTTTTCGCATTGTAACTAAGGAGTAAAACTGAATTAATGTGCAAAATCCAAGTTTTTCATCTGAATAAAAAGTACAAGAAATTCTAAAGAACAGAAAGCTCACATATATCTTGTGAATGGAAAACAGCAGTAAATTAATCAGAAAACACAAAAACCAAAGGTCTCACAAACATAATGGAAATAATATAACACATTTCTTTTCTCATCTGGATACAATATTTTTTTCTATTCTTTTCCTGGAAACAGTACCATAATCCTAACTTTCACTGAGTAGTACAAACAGTGATTCTATTTTCTAAATTCTAGAATTACAATGGAGCTAAAAGTTAGCTTACAGCAGAAGAAAACAATCCACATTAATTATCTCTCAGAGTTATAATGTAAAAAGAAATCATTTTTAACCTTGATAAGCATAAGAGAAAGATGCCATCAGTCAAATTTGCTTTCACAGAATAATTCCTTTAAAGTTTTAATACATCCTAGAAAAATCTAATTGGGGGAGGGTGATCCTAAATATGCAAGTATTCTACCACCTTAATAGATTCCTCCTTCTTGCTGACAACAGGAGTTCACTAATGGAAAAGAATTATTGGAAAGGTGATTTGAGTACATGGTACATTTAAGACCCTTACTTTCTTAGCTATTATCCATTCAATAGAAGATACTACTGTATTTAGCCAATAGAGGAAACAAGTTCAGAGAGAGTGTGCTTTAAAAATATTCTTCTAGCTCAGGACCTTGGGTTCCACTTAGCTCCCCACCATCACTCTCAGCTTGCACTGTGGTCCCACAGCTTTCTATTAAATGCACTAACATTCTGCCACTCAGCTCAAAGTCTCAGAGTCAGCAAAAATGTCTCCTCTTCTCTAAAATGAAACCAAAGTTGCCAATCCTTGTAAATTCTACTTGGAGAAGTTAAATCTATCTTCTTTCCCTAATTCCCACAGGCACCAACAAGTTTAGTAGCCTTCCAAGTGTTATCCCAGCCTTCAATCTCTCTACTCAAAACCCCAAATCCTTGCCTAAATTGTACATCTAACATGAATGCAGACAACGACATGCTCCTACTCAAAACTGGTCAATATCCCCTCCCCTTCCCAACATCCACATACCACAAGCATCTTCCACCCACCCAACCACCTAACCACTTCTCCTCCACATAGGAATGCCAGAGAATATGTTAGAAAACATAATATGATAGGGTGTGTAGTTTCCATCTGTTGCTATTGCCAATTACACTAGAATAGGTATCTTAATGTGCTTTGACTTTTTACTGCTATTTGTAAAAT